GCCTCTTCATCAACTTCCATGTAACTAGGTCATGCCCCATGGAAATGGCTAGTGATAATCTGAATAATCCTCTCCAAAATCCATTGTTCGCTTCAAACAAATTAATTTTTTTAACTTTTAGTGATTATTTAGATAGATATTAGACAATGCTTTTTTTCTCTCACCTAGTCACCTCTTCGGTGATAACACATCGAGCATATGGATTCACCCAAAGGAATCGGTTGAGAAGAGGTGCTTCCACCTCCGAATTGGATGTTCCCGACTCCACCAAAGCGAGCACTAGAATGCAGTCCGGAAGTGGGAGTTTGGCCGCGTTGGTTTCTTTCATCCATTGACATATCGTCATTGGATGTTTATTGGATGATTATTGGAGTTTGAGAGTTGGAACGGCCTCGGCCTCAGCCACGATTTGAAGAAGGGTTGGAGTTGTGGGATGAATTATTCATCTATAATTTAGTAAAATTATAGTTAAAATTTTATTGATCGCGATTTACCAATTTTTTGAATCATTTTAATTTTAAAATTCTAGGTCTCATCATTTTTATAAAGGCAGTTTTTGAGGGTTTATTAAAAGTTAACAAATTTATAAATTTATAAAAATTTATAACAAAGTTAACAAATTTATAAAGTTAACATTTATATAATGGAAACTAATAATCCAACCTTTTAACGGTCTTCTTACAATAGTCCTACCTAATCACAATTCAGGAATAATCTAACCTTTGCACCCCAACGTCATTCGGCGGCCCCTGACCGGTTGATGACATGCTATTCTAGGTTTTTTTCATTTTCTTTGCAAATCATTAATTAACCATAAATCTCACGTTATACAAATCTTCTCAAAACGGTCCCACATTTGATTTTTATTTTTCTTCCTATTTTTTTCCTTTTTATGTATTCCTATTCATTGTAGTATCTTTTTATAATTTTTTCCAAGCTACTTGTTTATATTTTTTCTTTGAATTTTTTAGAAAAGAGAAAAATATAAGGGAAATTCCTCAAATAGTATCGAATGAAATTTTGTAAGGACTAACTTTTGAAGTCTACCCTTGTTTTGTTTTAGTGCAATTCATATTTTATTAATAATTAAAGCATAAAAGCAATAACATAACTTTTTTATAATAAAAATGTAAAAAAAAATCAAAAGGGGTGTAAGGTAAACACTCCAAACTTGCATATGTAATTAAATACCCCAAACTTTATATAAAACTCATTTTAGCACCATTGTCATGTATCATTTCTTTTAAAAGTGTAAACTTATGGTATTAATTGCATAATTTAAAATAGCAAATTAAAAATGTTGCAATTATATAGATTGTTAGGGGTAACATTATTAGAATGTTAATTGTGTCTTCATGAATTCTAAAATATTTTAAATTATGCAATTAACACCATGAATTTACATTTTTGAAATAAATAATACTTGACTATGGTGCTAAAATAACTTTTTATATAAAGTTTGAGGTATTTAAATTACATATGCAAGTTTGGGGTATTCATCTCATACCCCGTCAAAGTTTGGGGTATATTAACTATTTTTCCCTATTTTTTATTACTATTTATTATTTTATTATTTTTAAAGAATACTTTTTGACTTTTTTTATATTTTTTAACTATATTTTTTATGAATTGAAATACTTTTTATTATTTTTCCGTTTTTATTATAATGTAAAATATGATTATCTTATTAAGTTATGGTAAGAGTAGAATAAGAAAATAGAGTGTACTTTAGTCCTATTTTGGGAAGATAAATAACATAGTCCTATTTATGAATTTAGGGATTAATTTAGTCCTATTTTGGGGCTATTTTCCCAAATAATATATTAGTGCTGGAATCAAGGTAAGAAAAGGAAAAATAATATACATAAGTGCAAGTAAAAAGAAAGTAAAGTAGAAGGTTAGCATGGTGAGAAAAAGATCTTTTATAAGAAGGAAACTAATCTGAAAAAATATATAAAAATGAAAATGAAATAATAAACTGGAAGAAGAAAAAGAAGAAAAAATGGAAAACATAAATATTGAAAAATAAAAAATAAAAGAAATAAAAATAAGACTAAGAAGACCAAAAAAGGGAATAAAAGATCCAAGACGCTAAAATTAAAAGGGGAAAAGTTTTAGGGAGAAAAAAGAAAAATGATGAAATAATTACATATTTGTGACTAAATTAAAGATTGTTTACAAAAATATGACTAATGACTAGAGTAATAATGGAATAATAATAACTTATGTTTAAGTTTTAAACTGAAGTTACCATTAGATTAGATTGTAGTAACTTTTAGTCATATTTGTGTAAATATGTTTTATTTTAATAATATTTTTATATAAATCTCATTTTAAAATTTGTTACACTTTTCTATTTAAGATGTATTTAAAAATTTGCTCCACGTTCTCTTTTTGATAAGTTTTTTCTTTAAAAAAAATACTAAATTACCCTTATTTTTTCTACTTTTATCTTCTCTTTCTTACTTTTGCAGCTTCCCTCTTATTTTTTTCTACCCTAATCATTAACCCTACTATTTTTCTCTTAAATATTGTGCCAAAGCCTGATGTAGTGATTTTTTAAATACAAAGAGAGTACTAATAATGCTTAAATGCGATTTTAGTGTGTGAAAATATGACATATTTTGTTTTAGATCCCTATAAAAAAATTGTTTTATCCTATAACATGCACTATTTTCTTTTTAATCCATCTATACTACCGAGACAACCCCATGATAAAAAAGTTATTGTCGATTACATAAATCTATTTGAAACTTATATATTTATCCTTCTACAGTTTTTCAGTGGCTAATATGAGAGTTAAAATAATGTAAAACTAATTATTCACATTATAAAAATATGATTTGACAACGTTCTAAAAACTAAAATTAGGCATTTTTTGAATTATGTGATAGAGATTGTGACAATATGTTTTAGGAGTAAATAAGTTTGAAAATTTTCAAAATAGGACTCCCATGTTTTTATTCCCAAAGTAGAAGTAATTACTACCAAGTTTGGAAAATATTGCCATGTTTAAAGCCTGATGCTGATAAAAAATGGAAGTAATTAGTCTTATTTTGGGAATAAAAACATGACAGTCCTATTTTGGAATATACAAATTAAACGTTTTTAGTCCTATTTAGGATATTTTCCCTATCTTTTAATTATGATTGATTTGTTGTCAAATGAAGGTTATTATGATTGAAGATGGATTAAAATGAAATGAAAATAAAACAAAGTGCATATCCACATACACAACAAATCATTTCACAAATCGATTCCTAATTTACAAATTCGAAATTTATCCATTCTAAACCCTAAGTTGGAATATGAGATGAAATAGATGTTTCATTTACCTGGAGGAAAGAGTGTTGAAAACGATGGTTGTGGAGTATCCTTGGTAGGTGGAGTAGCCTGGTCGTCACTGCCGTCGCCGAAGATGGAGCAGGAGCTTCGATTTTCGCCGGATTGGATTTTGAGGCTGCAAGTCGTTCTGCCTGCAGACTGCTAGCCGACCGTCTGTTTTAAAGGGAAAGTCACCAAATGGATTGGCAACTTATAAGTCGTCAATCCGTTTGGTGAATTTGCCTAACCATGGTCAGCCGTCAATCCGTTTGGTGACTTTGCCTAACCATGGTCAGCCCAACAGTATTTTTGTAAATATTTTAACCCACCATTATTGAAGTGAATAATTTTTTTTCAACATTATTTTGAAAAAAAAAATTCCATTATATTTGAAGAAATTAAAAATATATGTAAACCTAATAATGGTGATGATGGTGATCATTGCGTGTACCCAAAAGATAATGATGGTGTAAAAGTTCTGGCGTGGATGGTTCCACACGACATGGTTGCAAACATTGACTTCTATATAAGGAGTATTTTAACACATGGATATTACAGAGTTGTTCAACAATGGATGTCTAATGTCTATGCTTTGAATGCCCATACAAATTATACATTATATCTAAGTTGAAATTGTATGTACTTTCATATTCTCGATCTGATCTCACATAACTTTGCTGAATTTGATTAACATGTGGTTTAACAAAACAACTCTATAATTGAGTTTGTGTAAATTACATAGAAATAATGAATTAATTCCACTTTTGGTCCTACAAGTGTATGTCATTTCCACATTTAGTCTACATCTTTCACTTTGTCCACTTTTGGTACTTGACTAATGTTTTTTTATCATTATTTGTTGTCCTTCTCTGGCAATTTTAACCACCGGAATTATTGCCGAAAGGGCCATATATAGGCAAAAACACAATAGTCATGTATCAAAAGTGATCAAAGTCAAAGATGTGAACCAAATTTGGAATCGGTGCGATACTCGTAAGAACAAAAGTGGAATTTATTCTAGAAATAATAGATATTAAAAATTAATTTTATAAAACAGAAAGTGATAATTAAGGTTTTTGGGATAACCAAAAGGGAAAATGCGACAAAATTATTATAAGACATAGAGGGAGTATTGTTTTAAAAAAGGGAAAGTTCCCGAAATGGGACTAAAAAAGTTTGAAAATTCCAAAATAGGACTCTCATGTTTTTATTTCCAAAATAAGACTAATTATTGCCAAATTTGGAAAATACTGCCATGTTTGAAGTCTGGTACTGCCAAAACATGGCAGTAATTAGTCCTATTTTGGGAATAAAAACATGGAAATCCTATTTTGGAATTTCCAAACTTTTTTAGTCCCATTTTGGGTAATATCTCTTTAAAAAATTGTTCAAAACAGGAGTACAACATAAATGAAGTTAGTATATTTTCATCTTAAAATAGAACTTCTTTAGACTTATTAAAAGAAGAATGCAAAATTTCCTATATAGGTGTACACGCATGAGTCATCTTGTGATAAAAAAGTAGTTAAATGATATATAGTATTATATGAGAAAATTTATTTAGATTATTCAGACTTAGAAAATTCTCTCGATTATCTTTTGCACCTAGCTACTTATATAAGGCATTGACTATAAATATAACTAAATAAGCACCAACTCATTTCACACAATTGTAACACCAGACATATAGAAGTATTCTCTTATTTTCACTTTTCCATACTAATTTTATATTTCTTCAAAACAAGATAGTTGATGGCATCCCCAAAAAGTAAGATTTACCCTGATAAAGATGATTTCCCATCTGCAATGTCGTCTTCAATAGTAAGCAGTGAAATTGAAGCTGAAATCAAATATCTTGCAACGGAAATATACGGGTCACCGTCAATGGAGAAGTTGTACCAATACCAGGGATATTGGTACTTGAAATCTGATCTCCAAGGAGTTATTGCCGTACAAAAATGGTGTGCCCGCAATAAGTCTAGCGATGATCTTGGTGCCAGCAGGTCGGACGTTGTTCTCGCAACGTTCCCAAATGCGGGACGACATGGTTCAAGGCCTTGATCTTTTGCATCATGAACAAGAATTTGGGAGACGCTAATCTTGAAGAGTCCCTCCGGTGTCATTCCCCTCATGACTTTGCCAAGTGGCTCGAGTACTACGGTTACAAAAACCATGACAATCCCATACCCTCTACTAAGATCCTCTCCACGCATATGCCCTACAGTGCATTGCCAGGTCTCATTAAGGACTCCACCACACTCATAGTCTATGTTTCTCGAGACCCTAAGGACAACGTAGTCTCCCTATGGCATTTCCTGAACAAGATGAAGGGTCGGGACACACCAGGTATCGAGTTAGATAAGGTGTTTTACTCGTTCTGTAACGGGGTATCCCATTATGGCCCTTTCTGGGACCATACCCTCTCCTATTGGCATGCTTCTCTGGAATCTCCCCATAAAGTACTCTTTCTCAGGTATACATACTTACATTTCGTCATGCAATATTAATATAATAAATAATCCTAGCTAGCTCCTTATACGAAGTATATGTTATATGTAGTATATTAGTACGTATAAGGAGCGATGGATGATGCATGCATGGATAGTAATTTAAGAAGTAATATATACAACTTTAATTTAACTATACTACATCCCTCTGATCCCTATATGTTAAACCACTGATTAATTAACCTACTTTGAGTTATAATTTACGAGTAATTAACTAATTGATATTAACCATCAATTACTTCCATTTATTGGATTCTGATTGATCTCATATTTAATTATATTGGTGATGACTTATCGACGAATACCGGCCTAATATATCCCCCGTTTGGATAGTAGCGGTTTGAGCAATCCGTTAATTGTTTTGTATTGCAAAACGTTGCATTTTGCAGCAGTTAGACAGCAATTCGCTGAAAAGCAAACATGACCATAGTAATATAGTAATATGTACGTAGTACCAATGGTGTATTCCGGATTTTGTTTGAGAGTGGGAAAATATACACTATACCCTATAAGAATTACAATCATACGCATTTCACAAATACATATTTTACTTTTCCTGTCATGTAAAAAAATTGTTACATTCTGTTTAAGAAATAACTTTTATTGTTCATGTAACTTCACATTAATAGTACTCCTTCAATTCCGTCCCAAAAAGATTTGGAATGTTAGGGCCTGTTTACAAACAGAAATATTTTCCAGTTTTCCAGAAAACTGGAAAACTGGAAAACAGAAAACAGGAAACGTGTTTATCAAAGAAATTCCTGGAAAACTGGAGAAAGGAAAAAAGAAAAACGCGTTTACCAAATCGTTTTCCAAAACGTAAAAACTGAAACATGTCTCTCTTTTCCTTAATGATTTGGAGAAGTGACTTTTACTAGTTTTCCAAATTTGGAAAACGTAGATGCTACAGTGCCTTTGCAATGAATTTGCATACTTACACCTAGTGGTGGGTCCGGTCCCGCTCCGATGTCGATTCCATTCCGGTACCTCCATCCTCGTACCTTACCCCTACCCTACCCTACCCACCCAACCCCCACCCCGCGTACCCATTTTTCCCTATAATGACCTTACCCCACCCCCCACCACATGCCCCGACCTCGGCCCCACCCCGATCCACCCTACCCTACCGCCACCCCCCTACCACCTCGACCCCACCTCGATCCACCCTACCCTACCGCCACCCCCCTACCACCTCGACCCCACCCCGACCCACCCTACCCTACCCCACCCCTCGTATATTACCACTTACCCCTACCTTACCCCTTACCACATGCCTCCTACCTCGGCCCCACCCCACCGCCATCCTACACCCGTACCGCCACCCTACCTCGGCCCCACCCGGATCCCGGGCCCACTCTACCGCTACCTTACGCCAACCCCAACCCTACCCACTACCCCCACCCTTACCTCCATCCTACCCCCACCGCCATCCTACCCCAGCCCCACCCTGGTCCCGACCCCACCCTACCGCCATCCTATCCCAACTCCCTACCCTACCCCTACCTTACCCCAACCCCACCCACTACCCCCACCCTTACCGCCAGTCTACCCCCCACCCTACCCCTTCCCTACCCCGGCCCCACCTTGGTCCCGACCCCACCCTACCGCCATCCTATCCCAACTCCCTACCCTACCTTACCCCAACCCTACCCACTACCCGGTAGGGGCGTTGGGGTGGGTGGGGTCGGGGTAAGGTAAGGTGGGGGTAAGGGTTGGGGGTATGGGTACACATAATACTTGTGTTCATGAATGTTTGTGTCATTGAATGTCTATATATGTATAGGGTTATTTTAGATATTTTAATATTAAACGGTGTTTTAAACCTTTTGAAGTAAAAACAATCTTACAACGTTGCTTATTTTGTGCGCCACTTATTAACGCGGGTCTTAGTAAGACCATTTAGTAACCCGTGAAGTAAACATGTCCTAAGTTTTAGACATAAAATGAAACAATAAAAGAATAAATGGGAATTGAACCCGAGTCCCCAAAAAGCTAGCAATGTAACCCTTCCAGTCTTCCACCACTCCACCAACATCACAATTAGTTAATAGATGGATATTTAAGTATATATATATACATGGGAGTGTTCTCCTAAGGTAAGCCTAAACCCTGTAAGTTTTAGGCCTCCTTTAATTGATGGGCTTCTGAGTCAAATTTTTTAATGAAATTTTGTGAGCATATTCTCCATAAAGTGTAGGTTATGTCCATCAAATTTCAACTTAAAATTCAATCCGGAAGTCAGTTAACTAAACTATTGACAAAAAATGCATGTTATATGTATAAAAAACTGCCCAATTTAAAAAAAATTATTTGAGTGACTTACCGATTAAATTTTAATCTGAAATTTGGTAGATACAATATACACTTTAGGGGGAACATTCTCAAAAAATTTCATTAAAAAAATCGTCCTTACATGAAAGAGACCTAAAATTTTAACTTTTAGTCGTACCTTACGTGAATATTTTCCTATATAGGGTGGGTGGGGGTTAAGAGGGGTTATGTATCAAATATGTGTAAAAATACATACATAGAGTGCATATGTGTGAATATATACAGAAAATATATACTTCGTATGTATATGTACGGGTTGGGTGTGGGTGAAGAGGGGGCAGTTGCCCCTACTACCCGCACCGTAGATCCACCTTTGCGTAGTACTATCTCCGACCCCATTTTATGTGTTTTCTTTTAGTTTGATACAATTATTAATAAAATGATTGAAAAAGTAAAAGTTGTAATTGAGATTTGAGTATAATAAAGTGAAATTTTGTGGATCACATATTTCTTTCCAAATAAATGTGTCACTTATTTTGGGACAACTCAAAAAGGAAAATAATACAGGTAAAATGGGACAGAGGAATACTAGCTAACACCATTTCATTTTCACCTTTTTTCCGTCAATAAATAATTGTGATTTGTGAATGTTAATTAATATACTTCCTTCATCCCGAATTGAATTGTACTTCATTATTTTAAGGTTTACTGACGATAAAGTTAAATAATTCGGGTGGCTAAATGAGTTTTATTAATAAATTAAACTACACTCTATAAAGTCAAAATTCAAATTAGAATATACGGAGTACGTACTAAAAAAATTGATATGCTATACATAAGTAAATACAGTGATACTGTTTTGGCCAAAATAAATTGACTTTGCAAATCTTTTAATTATCATATATTCTCAAGAAATACAGGAGTTGATTTGGTAGCCCCTTACAACCTTAATTAGCTGCTCAGGCTTGGTTATTACGTACATACTCGTATTTTTTTTTAGGCTAAAGGGTCAAATAGGTACATGAACTAACTTAAAGTGTTCAATTAGCCCCTTGTATAGGAGGTTCTGCCCGGCCGTCGCCAATTGGGGCAGTTCCCGGTGGAATTTTTTGATGAAATTTTTTGAGCATGTTCTTCATTAAGTCTAGTTTACCCATACCAAATTTCAGCTACAAATTCAACCGGGAAGACAGTCAAATGTTTTTTTGAAGATAACTGTGCAGTTAAACATCGCAGTACATTTTGGAAAATCATTTGACTGCCTTCTCGATTTAATTTTTAACTGAAATTTGGTATGGATAAACTAGACTTAATGAAGAACATGTTCAAAAAATTTCATCAAAAAATTCCACCGGGAACCGCCCCAATATGCGACGACCGAGCAGAACCTCCTATACAAGGGGCTAATTGAACACTTTAAGTTAGTTCATGTACCTATTTGACCCTTTAGCCTTTTATTATTATTATTATTATTATTATTATTATACTCCGTATATACAAAGCTAGCCTGTATAAGCTGCTAATTAACATGCCCTGCCTTAGTCCTTAACATTGATATAATTAAGAGGAAGTAGCGCAGTTATTAAAAAATTGGGTTTATGTGATTGATATTGAATTGATAAAATAAAAATAAAACGAAAATGATTTAAAATCACAAAAATGTTATCAAATTTAGTATAGAACAGTCTTAATAACAGATAAAAAAGATCCAAAAATGTGAGAATCTAAACAGACTGGAGAAAGTACTAAATACTAGCTACTCCTGTACCGCTGGTAAAAAAAACAAGCTACTCATGTACCACTGGTAAAAAAAAGCTACTCATGTACCGCACAAACTCCATGCTCACTTCTCTCCATCTATTCGGCATATATTGCTACATCTGCTTACTATAGTTAGTAATTTACTCCTCCGTCTCGAAATTAACTTCTCATTTTCCTTTTCGGGCAGTCCCGAAATAAAGTCTCACTTTCTTATTTGGCATAAAAATCTATATCAAAATAATGCAAAAAGTGCAAAACAGTGCCAAAAAACAGAAGGGATCAATATGTTATCAGGCATCACACTCTTAATAGATAGATTACTGAGGTGGACCGGGATATCATGAGAGGAAAGATACAGTGGACCGATATCAGACCAGTTAGAATACCCGAAGGAGCTAGATCTCCTATTCACCGAATACAACAATTTGCCTCAAAAATATGATTAACAGAGTTGATGGCCTTATGCATAACCGAACGAGTATCATCAGGGCCGGTCCTGCAAAAATAGAGACCCGGTGCGACTTAAAAAAATGGGCCTTTTTTCCAAACACTAAGAGAGATAGAACATAAATAATTAATTTAATATTTACTTAATAACTTATACCAAATTATTAAACATAATTTAATAATTCATCAATTAATTACAAAAAATAAAAAACAACCACAATAGCTAAATACTACCTCCGTTCCGCTTGTCCCATTTTACCTTTTCGGGAAGTCCCACTAAGATTGTCCCATAACTTATTTGGTAAAGATTGTGTGACTCTAAATCATTCTAACTTTATTTTTACTTTATCAATTTAATATCAATCATACAAACATACTTTTCTTAATAATTGTGTCACTTTCTCTCGTCTCAATCTTAGTGGGAGGGCGGTAGTAATACATTAGGTGGCCTAAGGCATAAACGATAAACAATTTACTCTACGTTTATGCTAATAATCGAAATTCCCAAACATATAAAACAATTAAAACAGTCTAATAGAGTAATAGAACTATAGAAGTATGCACTCGCCGATGGAGATTCGAGACTTGGGGCGTGCGCGTGTAGACAGCTGCTGCTGAACCGGCGGAGAGGGGACTGCCGGAGGTGCGGTACTGCGGTGCTGGACAGGGGCCTAGATGCGAACGCCGTTTTGCTGCCTGCGATTAACGCCTAGAGGAGTAGACCCGTAGAGGCCCTCGATGCAAGCTGCGTTATTATTTCTTCAATCGACGTTCTGTACTTCCGTTTTGGTTTTGTGATCTACGCTTTTGGGTTTATTTTGGACTTGGGCTGACTACCACCTAATACTAATACTAAAAGAAAAAAAATTGGGGCCGTCATATTTTTGAGGCCCTGTGCAGTGGCACCGATTCTACCTCCCCAGGGCCGGCCCTGAGTATCATGATTGAGTTATACCAGTTAGCCCAGATACTGGTATTGTTCTTAACCTTCTAAAGCCTTTTGGAGATGAAATAAGCTTCTAAAGCCCAAACCATTTTCAGAAACAAGCTAACAACAATTTTGCCAACTATGCCAAATGTGCTTGTGATTATCAGAATTCCTATCCCATAAAACGTTTGAGAGTTTCCTCTCCATTTTATACTCCATAGATAATAATAGTGCGGGGGGAGAGACATCCATATGATACAAGGGAAGAGTATTGAGAACATGCTGAATAAGGATCATCTTACCACCAACCGAAAGCAGTTTATGCTTCAAGCCAGCTAACTTCTTATCAAATTTAGTTAAAATATATGCTCAAAATAGGAAGTCAGTGTTCTCACGGTGAAAATGTTTGCACCCAAGTAGGTAAAAGGAAAAGAGCCCCTTTGAATTTTGAAAATACTTTTAATAATCGTTTAAGAATGGTTCTTAGCATGTTTTGAAACAAGGTAAAAGCTCTTTTTTTTGCTAATAAGCTGCCCCGAAAAAGTTTCATAATCACTGATAGTTTTATTCACCAAAACAATAGTGTTTTTTAGCATTAGACAAGACAATTAAGTCATAAACAAAAAGACATATGATTGATATTAGGCATACACTTAAACTTACCATAGATGAGGTTAACAAACATAGAATGGAAACCAAATTTAATAATAGTATTATAGTAATTACTCTAAATAGGAGTAAAACTAGGCTGAAATTCAAAAACAGGACTTCCTATGTTTTTGTTCTAAAATAGGACCATATTGCTCCTATTATGAAACATAGAGAAATTAACATTACATTTTTGCCCCTCAACCTATTTCTCACACTTGAATTCTCTCCGCATCACGATCGATTTCAGCAAACCCATCAGATGGTCTATTGCGTCGTTTCTCCTTCCCCTCTGCATCTCATCCATGGAGTTCCACTCCCCTGGACATCAGATTGGTCATCTTCTTCCTTGTGCATCGAATCGATCGATTCCACCGACGCCGCACGCCATCGTTAACTCCCCAACCATAGCCATCGTCACTATTGTTGACTCTACTGCACACCATCTCCGGTCAGATTTCTCCTCCTCCCCCTTTTCTTCTTCTTCCTCTTCTTCTTCTTCTTCTTCTTCTTCTTCTTCTTCTTCTTCTTTGTTTTAACATTGATTTTTCAGATTTTCCTCATATTCTTCTGTTTTTATGAGTTTTGACCTTCATTTGGCTGGTTTTGGGACCTCTGTTTCGTATTTCCGATTCAGATCTATTACTTTTCAAAAAACACGATTTTCTGCAATTTTGGATGATGGCATAAGATTCTGCCATATTTATGGCAGAAATATGCATACTGACAAATGATTATGGCAGAATAGATTTGTCTAAATTGGTTTTTAATTTTTTTGTCAATAATTTCGTATTTGTGATTTTTGATTGTATGGAAGTATTTATTCCTTTTGAAAAAATTATTTTTCGAATATTTACCTGTTGAGTTCATATGTTTGCCATTTTTATGACATTTTTTGTGTTATTCTTCCAAGACAAATCTGCCAACTTTTTTGGCAGATTTAATGTTCATACAAATGGCAGATTTAAATTAAACTTAAAAGCCAAATCTGCCAACTTAATGGCAGATTTATGGCATTGCTGTTGTGAAGGTGGTGGTGGTACTTGGAGTTGCAGCGGTGGTGACGGCGAACGGAATGAGCGACGGTGGCGGCGGCGGTGAAGGACGACAACGTTGGTCGGGGCGACGCCGGTGTGGGCGGTGGCAGCGGACGCACTGGCGGTGGCATTGGCGAGGGTGGCGCTGTCGAAGACGGTGGCAGGCGGCGGCGGTAAACGGCGCTGGAAAGGCGGCAGCTGGCGGCGCCGGTGGTGCTGGCGAGGGGCGGCGGCGGCGGCTTTGGATCTAGCGGCGGCAATGCTACTGCTTGAAGTTGAATCCGTAGGGTTCAACATGTTTTTTATTTTACATTTTCAAAATTCAAAAAATTAAAACAAGGGTATTTTTGTCCAACTGTGATGTATTTGGTCCTATGAAAGATAGTTTCATTTTTTGCTCCTATTTGTGCACTCACGTGTACTTTTAGTCCTACAAAGGTAATTAACTCATAGTATTATGACCGATCAAATCTTTCATCATATCAAATTTAATGATAGTATTATGACCCTTGTTCTTATTATTAATATGGTTTCATCATATGCTAGAACACTTCTAGCATTTTCAAACATAGAATGTTCTACAATTGCATCACTATTTAATATAATTTCATTTACATCTTATCTAATGTAGTTTCATGATATCATCATAGGTATGAGGACATGATAGCCTCTCCTGTAATACACATCAGCCGCCTTGCCAATTTCATTGGTCATCCATTCACTATAGAAGAAGAGAAGATGGGACTTAAGGAGAGAATCATAGATATTTGTAGTTTTGATAAGTTGACTTCCTACGCTGCCAACCAATCCACAAAGTCAAACCCATCACGCCTTCCTTATCAGTATCAAACTCCATGTTCTTCCGCACAGGCAAAGTTGGCGACTCACGCAATTATCTCAGCCCAGAAATGATTTCCTTTCTTGATGACATCAACAAGAACAAATTGAAGGGATCTGGATTACATCTCTAATTTTTGGTTAATGGATTGATTACCTACATATCTACTGTGTAATGATAAACCCCCTTTTATCTCTCAAAACTCTACCAGGTTTGACTGGCATGAGAAACAATAAAATAAAAACTGTGTGATTAAGATTTATGTAGAAGAGAGAAATTATATGAACCACGAATTCATCGATTAAAAGGGAAAATGACAAAAATTTTGGTACATCCAAAAAATGAAAGATGACAAAGTTATAAGGGATAGAGAGAGTATGCTTTACAAGTTTATATAGTTCTTTGAGCAAAGTCACTGTTATTCGAACATATGGTTTTGTACGTTTACATTTTATACTATCGTATATTCATATATTGAAATTTTATGGATCATTGCGTTTACCGCTACACTAGAAGCACTTATTGATTGTGTAGCACACCCTTCCCCCCTTATAGAACATGCAAAATGATATGTTTTTATTGCACCGGTAGGCTAGTAGAACTGTTGGCATCACGTTTTCGTGGCCCAACAATTCCCCCCAACACCTGCCAACCTCAAATGTGCAACATGCTGTTGTCGGGGGTCGAATTCGTGACCTTTGGCTCTACTACCACTTGTGGATCGTTGCGTTTACCGCTACACTAAAAATCATTAATAGTGTAGCACACCCTTCCACCTTATAAAATAGGCAAAATGTCATGTTCCGATTGCACAGGCAGACATGCATTAATTGTATGTAACAAATAAAAAATGGTGTACTTGTACTTTTTTGTTTGTGATTAACATTCTTTACATGTCGTAAGTAGCTAATGAATATACACAAACAATTTATGTCTGTACATAGAATGATTTCTGTGCAACCTAAACCTTACTTCTATAAAAAAGAGAACGCAAATCAAGGTAAATGACATGCAAAGTAGGGATGGACTCGGGCCGGGCCAACCGGCCCGGAACTGGACCGGCCCGCTACTGTGCGGGCCCGGACCGGCCCGGTGAACCGGTTAGTGCCCGGTTTGGGCCACCCGGCCCGGTGGGCTTCGGTTCCGGGCTCGGGCCCTCCATTTGGTGAATTTTTTCTGAGTTTTTTTTAAGTTTTTGGGTTGGGCTGGGTATTTTGGGCCATTTGAGGTGGTTTGGGGTGGTTTAGGGGTGAGGGGGGTGGGTTGGGGGTTAAATAGGAGAAGCCAAAAAAAAAATTACAAACCGGGTGGCCCGGTCCGGAACCGGTGGCTACCGGTTCGGGCTCGGGCCCAACAAAACAGAACCGCGAACCAGCCGGGCCCAGGCCCGAACCGGAACCGGTCCACCCCTATCATTTCAAAGTAGTATCAGTATACAATCTTTTTTTTCTTACGATGCAACTTTACAAAATTTTACTAGTTTTTTAGTTTCACTTTTTTAAACAGAAAAATTATATCGATACTTAAACCGTCATGGACATTATTTTATCGATGACAATCTCCGACGATGATTCAAATTTGAATACCCGAAATATATGATTTTCCTGTAACTTTAGGCCAACAACTCTCAAACTTGAATTGTTTTTTGAGTCCTTGAATATGATAAAGGTGAACATGATGAGCATGAAGGACAAAACCTGAAAGATGATGAAGTGGGGTATGAATAGAAGAGGAAAGGAAAGATAAAGCGAAGAAGAAAGGTGAAAGGGAGGTTAAAAAGACCCGTATATAAGGTGTGTCAAATTTGTATATTAAAGGTGTATGGCGTGCATTTTGTTATAAAAAAAAAATGATTGGTGTATACAAAATGTGGACACACTAGGTACACCATATAAATACCCTCAAATTTCTATCTAGCCTTCAGTTCCCTGACTTGTCTTTTTTCTTTCCAAAACTCTCACCCCCAACTTCCCCATATGGTATCATCTTTCACACATCCCTACCATACTTCAAGCACCCCCTCCGTTGTCAACGTCTTCTGCCTCACCCCCACGAACTCATTCAACTTTGAGTTCGGCGAGTTCGTCGCATCCCCTCACAATTCATTCATACATCGTCTGCTTCACCTCACAAACACATTGCAATATCTAGTTCAACGAGTTTGTGGCCACCCCCAAAAACAAACACATCCATCGTCGAGCTCGGCAAGTTTGTCACATCCCTCACGAACCCATACGTGTGATGTAGAACTTCCACTTATTTAACTCATCAAAGCTATAGAAGCTTCAAGACCGGTGGTTGGTGAATGTTGTGAACAACATAACTAATATACTAAGTGAGCTATGGTGTGAACAAGTTTGTTTTAAACGGCTAAATGGTAACTTTTAGTCCATCTATGCATTGTTAAACTTTTGTAGTATATTTTGAGATGTAATTTTGATAAGTACGTAGTATATAACAATGAGGTCAACCAAGCATTTCAGCCCAGCTGGTTGTGAGGTTACCGTGTCTGGTGGGAGGTCTCGAGTTCGAAACCCGCTAGGCACATAGGGGTTTGAAACTCAATGGATTGAGTGTCAGCCCTGATTACTCCAGACCCCCACAGCCCCCCTCTCCACAAACCTAAGGACCTGTTTACTAACAGAGATATTTTCCAGTTTTCCAGAAAACTGGTAAACTGGAAAACAGAAAACAGGAAACGTGTTTACCAAAGAAAATTGCTGGAAATCTGGAGAAAGGAAAACAAAAAAACGCGTTTACCAAATCGTTTTTCCAAAACGAAAAAACGAGACATGTCTCTCTTTTCCTTAATGATTTGGAGAAGTGACTTTTACTAGTTTTCCAAATATGGAAAACGCAGATGCTACAGTGCCGATGCAATGAATTTGCATACTTACACCTAGTGGTGGGTCCGGTCCCGCTTCGATGTCGATTCCATTCCAGTACCTCCATTCTCGTACCTTCCCCTTACCCCTACCCTACCCCCACCCCGCGTACCTCTTTTCCCTACAATGACCCTACTCCACCCCCTACCACATGCCCCTACCTTGGCCCCACCCCCGATCCACCCTACCACCCCGACCCACCCTACCCTACCCCCCACCCCTCGTATATTACCCCTTACACCTACCTCACCCCTTACCACATGCCCCCTACCTCGGCCCCACCCTACCGTCGTCCTACCCCCACCCTACCCTTCCCTTACCTCGGCCCCACCCTACCGCCATCCTACCCCAACTCCCTACCCTACCCCTACCTTACCCCAACACCACTACCCCCACTCTTACCCCTAACCACGACCCTAACCCACCCACTACCCCCACCCAACCCCCTAGACCTTACCACCCCACCCCCGACCATACCCCACCCCGACTCCGACCTCGACGAGTAGGTATGGGTGGGTATGAAGGGTTGTAGGGGAGTATGGGTAGAGTGTAAGATCGTGGTAAGAGTAGGGGTCAAGGGTGTGGAATTGGGTATAGGGTGTAGGGTGGGGGTACGAGGTATAGGGGTGGGGTAGGGGTTGGGGTATGGGTACACGTACGAGGTGATCAACCCCACATATTATATTATATATTTGTGTTTATGAATGTTTGTGTGTATATATATGTACAAGGTTATTTTGGACATTTTAATGTTAAACGATGTTTTAAACCTTTTGAAGTAAACATGATCTTATAACATTGTTTATTTTATGCTCCGCTTATTAACGCAGGTCTTAATAAACACCATTTAGTAACCCGTGAAGTAAACGTGTCATCAGTCTTCTAGATGATCACAGAACTAGGTGAAAAAAATTGATGAACATGTTTTCATATTTGAAAATGGAAAACTAAAAAATAGAAACAGAAAATTGGAGATAGAAAAACTGAAAAATAAAAACAGAAAACTGGAGAACGAAAAACAGAAGTAGAAAACAAGAAAATATCTTTGTTAATAAACAGGCCTTAAGTTTTTGTATAAATAATCACAGTAGATTAGAAGTGTTTTTTTAAAGGAGTAGACTAGAAGTGTTAGAAAAACGTATGTATGGTATTCTACGTAAGTACGTAGTATAGGAATATATGCGATGAAAGATTAGAGAATCCAACGGCGGAAACATGAGCAAGTCTTAGTTGATAAAGTTGATCCCATACGAAGTCAAAGTATTTGTAAAGTCTAATTGTGAGCACTGTCATGAAGATTGAGAATGAGAAGAGTTCATACTTGAGAAAGACCAGATCATAACAGATAAAGCAAAGAGGGACAGAAAAAAGAATAGAATAGTAGATAAAGTAGTTGATCAACAAGATTTCTTTCCTTTTATTATTTATTTATTTATTTATTTATTTTTCAAAGGCAAGTGCTCCTAATCTTCAAATATTCTCTTCCCAAATCTGATTACTCTTTAAAAACCCAATCCCCAAATTCTTCACTCTGCAATACCCAGAGTCCAGAGATCACACATTCATTTCTGATCATTTCCTTCATAATAAATATTGCCTGATGATTCGTTTTACTAATATATATACACACCCATGAATTTCTCTTCAACTAATATCTTATTTTCTATTTAGGATTTTCTGTTTCGCATCATCAATCTATTCTTCGATAAAGATTTTTTGAATCCCATTTCTGGGTTTAATCTTCTTACTCTGCATTTCCGAGGATCTAAAGTTGTCATTTTTTTTTATATCTGGGGATTTGAAAGATGGGAATCCAGAAAGATCGGGTAAGGTTCAACGTGGGTGGAAGAGCGTTTGAAACCACTGCCACCACTCTCGCTAATGCCGGCCGGAATTCTCTGTTCGGGGCCATGTTTGATGACGATTGGAGCTTGCAATCTGACGCCACAACGACAGAGCACTTCATCGATCGAAACCCAGATTGCTTTGCAGCCATTCTTGACCTTCTAAGAACAGGGGAGCTTCACATCCCTCCAAACCTCCCAGAGAAACTCCTATACAGAGAGGCCTTGTTCTACGGCCTATCCGATCATGTCAGATCAGCTAAGTGGGGCCCATTTGATGGAAACCGTCTCCAGTTAGCTTGTTCAATGAGGGGTCGTGCCCCGGGTGATGGGACTGCCATCCGAGCAGGCCCCGATGGCGGTTGCTGCGTGGCACATGGAAGTATGGTACACGTATACGATTGGATGATGGAAGAACACCCTCCTATCAATCTGGATTATCAAAGGGTTAATGATGCCGGTTGGGTAGATTCAAATAGCATAGTGATCACTACTTGTGAGAGGATCGGGCGGGGAGATGGCGGGATCGGGTTGTTCAATGCTTCCACGGGTGAGCTAAGGTATAAGTTCCAAGTCACCCACGAGAACCAAGTCAAGAGATACACCGCGGGAGCATTGAGTTTCACCCCAGACCATAAGCTCTTGTTCTCGAGCTGTAAAGGTAGAAGTAATGAGTATGGGATTGGAGTTTGGGACCATATCACCGGGAAACAGACAGATTTCTTCTATGAACCAGATGGATGGTCACTAGGTGAAGCAGACAGGCTACAATGGCTACATGGGACCAATTGTCTCTTGGTTTCAACTTTGTTTCCAAGAAAGGACAATTGTTACATAAGTTTGTTGGATTTTAGGGACAAGAAGACAATGGTGTGGTCGTGGTCGGATATCGGGGCGCCTATCACGGACGAGAGACGGGTCAGGGACGCGATTGGCATGGAGGGAACTGGTTCAGTGTGTGTGGTGAATGAGTACGAAGATTTAGGTTTTATGGATTTGAGGAGCGGTGGAGGAGGGAGTGTGAGGTGGAGGTCAAGAAGTCGATTGATGAAAGGGGGGAAGATGTCGGATGAACCATGCTACCCTAAACTAGCATTGCATGAAGGCCAATTGTTCTCCTCGATGAATGATAGTGTTTCGGTCTTTTGTGGGCCTGATTGGGTGCTCACGTCTCGACTACGCCGGAGTTATGGCGGTTCTATATGCGACTTCTCCATCGGTGGTGACCGCCTCTTTGCTCTTCATAGTGAAGAAAATGTGTTTGATATTTGGGAAACTCCGCCTCCACCTGTAGTATGATGTTTTGGAACTCATTTTTTTATATATTTTTAAGCGTGTTTGGTAAGAGTTGTTTGGTACTCAAGCCAAATAAGTCAAAAGTTATACAGCTAACCGAACAGGGTTACCAAATATCTCATAGCACTGTCCAATTAGGTGTCCTTAATCTGATTATTAAATGAACGGATAGCAGAACAAGGCTACCATACAGAGCAACAGTCTCCGAGTGAATTTTGTTTTTTTATATTCCAGAATGTAGGTTATGATCCTAGGATAGCAGAGAGAATATATTATATTGATTTCTGAGTTGATTTAGGATTGAATACAGAAATGGAAGTGATTGCAATACCATATTTCACATTATAAATTTCATAGGTCCTGGTTTATTGAATTGATAATATTCTTCTCTGAATCATGTGCATCTTCTGTTCACTTGTAAATTATAGTATTCCTAAACAAATTATGATCTCAGCAGCTTCACCCACAAATTCATTTATAAGAAAAGGTGAATTAAATTCAGCCAAACACTTCAGGAATATGGCAAAATATGTTCCAGGATATCTTAGAACCAGAAAAATTGAAGTATATATGAGCAAAGTTATGTTTTATTGTCTGATTGATCCAGGAACTCAGGAAGGCTGACACTAATGTACATGTAAATGAAGGGATATAAAACTACAAAAAAATAAAAAATAAACACTTAACTCTTTTTTCATAACTACAAAATGAAAAATAAGGCTAAAATGACCAAACTTCATCAGTAACACTCGGAGTAACCTTACTAAGCATAATCAGGCATAACTTTTTTCAGAAAAGCAATTGGTTGGGACTCTGTAGGAGCAATTTCGTCGAATGGAATATAGTTGCGGTCTTTATCATAGACATGGCACACTGTCATTATTGTCTTCATTAGACGCCAGTTCCATTTAGCCTCGTTCAGGTACTGTTAAAATAACACATACAAATCTTTATAAAGATGTGAAAATATATAGGAACCAAGCCAGCACTATGAGAATTAAAACAGATCACTGCAACAGACGGAAATAATTATTAGGAACAGACCTTTCCCCAGTTCTCTTGGATGGACTTATGAGCAGCCCGCAGATTATAGCTTGGTATTTTGGGAGACACATGGTGGGGGATGTGAACGTTAATATCATGGCAAAGGATCTCAACCCTGTCAAACAAATTAGGCAAAAGATATCAGATTGTGATCTAAAACTCTGAAGGACCTTTTTATGTATGGAGTATAATTTAAGAACTGAAGAACATAGCAAGGATGGTTCACTGGACATCTCAAAGTCAATTTAAACCCCACGAAGAAACACATTTGTTCATGGAATAACTTTCTTATTTTGGCAAGTAAAACTCTTAGAAGTCATGCAATCTTATATTTTTAAAAATTAGTTTTTGGTTACCTAGATTAATCATATTGAACTTGTTTGTAGTTTCATTTGTTGGGAAATTAGATGGAAAATTAGCTCCAATTTGTAAAATAGGTATCTTTTGGAACAAAAAAATGTTTTGAAACATGATTAGCTTTTAAACAGGTGGAGTATAAGATAATTTGCAAATTTAAGTGCTTAAATATATATATTTAAAAAATGAAACCAACAACAATGTAGGTACACAAACTTAATATGCTGTCCCCTTAGGCATCTCAGGCGCAATGTTTCTTCTCCATATAAAGAAAAAGTACAAACAAAGATGATACTTTTAAAATGGAAAGTAGATAAGGGTAAGCTACAAATTAAATATGAGCCAATTAAATAACCCTGAGTAATATGTTAATATCCTGTAAAACAACCAACTTTGGAGTTAATGATGTAGCAATTAATTTAATTTAGTTATGGAAAACCAAATACCTACCAACGAGGATAGTCACAATGAACTGTCCCATTAAGTTGGGCCTGAGCTGCATTCCACTCATTTGAATGCTTGAATGGAATGTGAGGAGCTGTATGATGGACCATTGTAAAGGTGCTCATCTGGGCACACAAAGAATTATAAATATATCACTTAAGACACTGCTAGTTAATCAGTTAAGATTAATATAGAAATATGAAATATCAATAGACAAAGCGTTTTATAAAAAGTAAGATTACCCAAAAGTGATAACCAAGCCATGGCATCAGCCAAAATTTGACCCATCCAAAGATTCCAGCTTTGTAGATAATCAATGGCCAACCAAGAACCATAAATGCAAATACACAAGCTAGGCTTATTTTCACTTTCTTAATCTCACTTGGTCTGAACTTGTTCAGGTCAAAATGCCAGGCCAACCTAAAAGAAACTCAAAAAAAGAGTCTATAATGAAACTTTACATACAAATGCTCAATATTTTCCCACTTTAACTATGATTATGAGGTCACTAAGGGTCTGTTTGGTATGTGAAGCTGAAAATCTAGCTAAAAGCTACAAAATAGCGAAAAATGACAAGTCGATACTCATTAGCTAGGAGCAGAAAGGCGAATGATGTAATTGGTGTTAAAAGTGTATGGTAAGTTTAACTATTGAGTAGCTAACTTAAATGAGAAGACATAAAAAGCCTTCTATATATTGATGTTCTTTAACTGATACGGAGTATGAGTTATGAAAACTTAAACTATAGGAATAAGCTTTTTTAATATGATCTTATTATAAGCTCTAAGTTATTTTCAAACAATGGATTATAGCTTATATAGAGCTTAATGAGCCACAAGCTCCGAAAGAAGCTCTACCTACAGAGTTATTGGTCCATATACATACCAGTGAGCTATTGACATCCAAGGTCGGATGGGTCCCATACCAATTATCAACGCCTTACGTAATAGAGGCATGGTATTAAACTCCTCTTTCCAAACAGGGTGCCAAGCTGTGTCCTCATCCAACCTGGAAATAGAGACATGTATGAAAAACCAATTGGAAAGCATTAACTTATTTGGAGAAAGTCCACGGCTTTAAGAAACGGAAGTCGGAACTAACATGTTAGTTTTTGCGTGATGGTGATCATGCTTAAACCGCCAAGGTTCATAGGGGTAAATCAATGGCATCATAGCTAAGGTACCGACAATGTCCTCAACAAATTTGTTTCTTGAGAACGCCTTATGAGCACAGTCATGTCCTATTACAAAGAACTGAACATAACAAACATAATCCAAGCCCCAAATAAGAATCTACTACCTCATTATGTAAAGAAATGAAAATGGGAAGGATGAAATTTGAACTAACTCCGGTTATTGCAGTTCCTGTCCATGCCCAAGCTAACGGAAGTAGATACCATGGGGCTTTTGATATCATGTAAAGTCCCAAAGAATATGAAGCTACAGATATTAAAACTGTTTTCCACGCTTTGAAATCATCAATCTCAAACACCTACAGACAGAAATGTTACATGACATCATGACAACAAAGAATGTTACAAAGTAAGAGTTCGTACCAATTTGGCCCAATAACTACACACTATCACTCAATTAGCTTATCGGCAATGCAAATTAGACTCAATTTAGTCCTAATTCATATTTCCTTCTAAAGAAGAAGGGTATTTTCCTAGGAAGAGGAGTAAATTACATAGTTGAAGGACGAATTAGTCTGGCATCGGTCTAAAGTTTTCCTAGGAAGATTGAGAATCAAATACGGAAAAATACTAAATTGGGTCCAAATCTTCAAGTCGAGGACCAAATCAAGTCTAATAAAAAGTTAAGAGGCAAGTAGAGTAATAGTGTATAGACTAGAAACCAAATCGGGTATTAACGATGACAAGTTTATTAAAAGCAAAGATTTCTATATTAGAATGAGTAGTAAAGATTAGTCAGTGGTAGTAGTAATTCTAGTATATAGCACTCTTCCAAAACATACCTTTTTTGGGAGTGTTTTTATAATATCTTTTAATGTTACATAATCAGGGAGTGGTTCTCCAATTTTCCTAAAGCCATATCTTTCACATAATAGTTCTGTATTCTCTGCACTTTCTGAAGGAAAGGGTGCAACTGGAACTGCCACTGCTTGTATAAAAATTGCTTTTCTGAAGGAAATTGAGCATCTATTTCTCTTATTATTATGTAGGCCTCCTGAAGTATCACCTGCTTAGCATGATTGGAAATAAATCAAATAATTAGGTAGTACAATTTAAGCCAGCTCATAAAAATGTTTCCACTCCAAATATAGACCAATTAGGACCATCGAGTAATGTTGTTGTTGTTGTTGTTTGTAGGATCATCGAATAAGAAGTTGCATGCATACACAAAAAGTTTGAAAAGAAAAAAAACAAATAGAGAGTTGAAAAATCATGTAAGACAAGAAGGGAAATCCTATGGCTATGTTAGGATAATGGAAAATGCTAAGGGAAAGGAAGTAAAATGCTCACAAATGTTATTTTCTTATATTTGAATCTACTTCAGAAAATGCCAAAGAAAGTGAAATGCAAAATAAACTACACTACTTTCTTAAGAGTTTTTTACACATATGTTTAGACTTCTTAGTAATTCACTATTTATACACGTAGATATGCATTCAAAGAAATATTAAACCAAAATTTATTGCATTTGAACTAGTGTTTTGTTTTCCTCAATTACTTCTGTCCTTCCCAAATTTTCATACATTTTCCTCCCCATTTTATTTTCCTAGCATTTTCCTTGTTCCAAGAGGTCAAAACTCAAAAGGGCCCAATCGGAGCAAACTAATTGGCAACAATTGAATGCAATCAGTGATTCAGTTCTCTTATTAAATGTTTATTGAATGCATTAAAGAAACCCTCTTTCTCACTAATCCCTTATGTGGTTGAAGCTAAGTTGATCTACAGGAAACATTCTTAGTAAACAAGAAAATAACACTGAAGTTAGCTCATGCTCCGTATAAGTTAGCTGCTTGCATCTTAACACTGAAGTAAACAAGACAGTGGAAATAAAGCATATGAATTACCGTTTTGCCAAACTTTCCACAGAAATGCAAAAATAACAGAGTTTTAATCCATCATATAAGTCATCGCATTCATACCTCGGAATCTCAGCTGGGGAATTCTCTTTCCCTGAACTGGCCTCTTTGAATGAGTCTGTAAATACGCCAGTAGAGGGAAACAAAGTAAAAAATTTGACACTTGATTAAAACATAAAGGGAGAAAAAGAATGCGATGCCATACCGAGATAAGAAAGCTAGAATCTACAGCTCTGCAAGCCGCCATGCGGATATCTGCGGTTTTCAGCAATGGCGTCCCATCTCCTATTCGATTATTACTATTTGTTCTTGAGCAGACACCATAGCAAGACGGAGTACGGACCAATTTCGTAAATCAATCAGGTGTTGGAGCGACAACAATACGACCGAAAGAATTTCTAGAGTATAACTCAATAACTGTATAAGCTGACACCGAAACAGCCGGCCGTCAACTTATATGGCAGTTAAAATTTAGCAGGAGATATATTTTTCACCACTGTTGCAGTAGAACTGTAGAAGTGTTTCACTATTTTGTTCACCTCTGTGTAAGGAGTAGGGCTCGGTCCCAAAAATCGAAAACCGAAAACCAAATCAAATTAAATCGAACCGTGACCAAATAAAAACGAATCGCTAAAAAACTGAAACCGAATGTAAAAAACCGAACCGAACCGTAGTAATTTGGTTCGGTTTTGATTTTTACTCTTCAAAACCGAACCGAACCGAACAAACCGAACTAAAATAAAATATGAAATTTTATTTGTTAAATGTAAGCATTAATCTTGAGATCATCAATAATTTTTGAATTTCTTGTGCTAGAGAAATAATGTTTGTGCTATGTTTAGTTTAGTTTATAAATGCATTTACACATTCATTGCCCATAATAATGTAGCTATATCGATCAATTAGGTCTTCTATGTATGTATGTTGCAATTTATTGCATGATTATATGTTTTTACTAGTTATTAGTAGTAATTAACTTTTATTTTTATGTAACCTAATTTCTTTTTGTAACTTAAATTTTTTATATTGAGAAAACAAATAAATATTCATTTCAACTATATCACATAGGGCATATCTTCTTGCTTATATAGTAAGAGCCAACTACCGTTAGCATGTCCTTTTTCCGTCAATCTCCGTCTACTGCTTGCCCTCCCTACATATACCGCCCGTCCAATTCCATTGTCTGTTATCTTGTTCACCCCGTCTGAAGTTTAAGTTGTGTATTACGGTTACTTCGCGTCGGTTGGGTGCAGTTGCGTTGCTCAACGACACAACTTCCATGCACAATTTCGTATATAAGGGACGACGACATGGCTGTGCATCTCTTCTGCTTTCCCTTTGCCCATCTTGCAGATCTTCCAAGGTATTCCTTTAAAATCTATTGAATTCTCCATCTTTTTCCAATGGAAACATTTCTGTAATTCTTAATTCGTGTTGTTGTATTCAGTGCATGGTTTGAAATAGCGGCCCGCTACCGCTATAGCGGCCGCTATATAGCGGTCGCGGTAGGGGCCGCTACCGCTACGGCCCGCTATTCGTGTGTGATTTCCAAATCACGGGAAAAATCCGCTACGCCGCCCGCTACAGCCCGCTATAGCCTGCTACAGCCCGCTATTGACATTTCCGGCAGTACATCACGAAATGTTTGATGTGTAAATGTGTAAATGTTGTGTGAATGATGTGAAAAATACATTAATAGTGATGCATGGAGTGAATCTCAAAATTAAATGTTGTGTGAATGATGTGAAAAAATACATTTATGTTTTGTGCAATTGAAAATATTTCACGCCGCTGCCACCGCTACAGTCGGCTACAGGCCGCTACCGCGATGACCGCTACCGCTACCGCTACCGCTACCGCGATGACCGCTACCACTACCGCTGCCGATACTGAATTTCAGTGCGCTGCAATAATATCAGTATATTGCAGTTCATCCATAGGCCCATAAGTAATATGCCCCATAGTGTTTGTTAAGACGCCGTAGAGAAGGTCACTAACTATCCAAACTTAAGGCTTAAATGGAACATGTAACCTGCAACAAAAAAATGCTTTTAATCATATCATCACTCATTTTCTACGTTCGATCAAATTAAACGCCAGTTTTAATATGCCCTGGAAAGATTTAGAACTTCTTCCCTTAACTAATGCCTCCATATTCTTTGTTAAAATGCCCCTGTAAACTGAAACAATTTGTTAATAATTCCTATATCTCCAAATTAAGAGTTAAATGGCACATGTAAACTGAAACAACAAATGATCTTCATTACAAAAAACCACACATATTCATACATACAACTATACAAGTGTTCTTATTACTTGCAGCCTTGTTTTTTCAACATTTATTTTCCAACAACTAACTATCACACTTAACATTTCTAAAATAAACTTAAGATCATACACTTCAGAATTGAAGGTTACTCAAATGCATCTGGAAAAAAACTCATGCACCAAGTGAGAAACAAACATCACCCTACAGGCCTAAGAGTTATTTAATGAAAAAGCTTAAAGGGAGCAATTTCTAAGCGTTTTTTAGTGGTTTAATGTACTCATTTCGGAAGCCTAGAAAGTATGTAAATTGATAATGTAGAGAAATATATTTGCTGGGGTGTTTGGTAAGTGACTTAAACGTAGACGTTTTCCTGCTTAGTCAATTATCAAAGGTTCTCTTAGCATTATTCTGTACCTTTTGTCAGTTGGTCTAACCATGTAACTTGTAAGTTGTAACTATTCTTTATCATAAAAAAGTTCTACTTGGGTCCTCGACTTTTTCTCATGAGTATGGGTTTCTTGACATTTTTGGTTGTTTTTGTCAGTCACTACGTATTTGGCAACAATTATTCGAAAGTTGTGATACATAAGTGATTAGAAGCACCAAACTTGATCAAAAAACACAGACATGCACCAAAGGTGCACGAAATGAAAGTCGGGACCATCAGCATCACCTTGATCCTAATTACTTTGAGGTCGTTGGCATGAAACTTGTAGTGTGAGTTAATTTTTGAAATTTAATTGACATTGTAAATTCATGCAAAATAATATTTTCTAATAGTCTTACACCAGATGCTCTTCAACTCACCACCTTCCAAAGATGGAATAAAGAGGAAAATTTCCGACACAGTCATTATTATTGGGGTTCTACATAACAAGTAAAATGTAATGAGCGGGTGATACGTTGAGGTAAATGGTTCAAGTTATAATTCCCCCCACAGAACTTGATTGTTAATTTATTTTTGGAAGTAGAGCTAATTCTTACATTCCTTTTGCTTATGTTATTGATCTTTGGTTGTAATCACGATGGGCTTTGGACAGGACGACATTCTTCAAGTGACAGACAATCCATACTTTCCCAAAATCTAATGACTACAAAGCTGGTGGTAAAAAGGTTCCACAGAAGGAAATGCAAGTATGTCAATTTGGAAACTCACATGAAAAAGATTCTCACGGTTCATATGGAACAAGGAATATTCTAGGGAAAGATATCAGGGAGGAAAAATGAGGGGAAGAATAATTGGGTTCGAACTCAATAGATAATTTTTGGTATTTTTTTGAACTCATTGTTACTCATATCGATTCAGTTGTTTTTGCAGGCATTATAAAAAAAGTGCACAGCCTGCACACATTTAGGTAAGTTACGTGTTACATCTAATAGTGTTTTGCCATTCAGATTTGGTCAACTTGTGTAAAGATATAATAACAATACTTATTTCATTTGAACTGTTTTGCAGGGTGTGCAAACTTCTCGCCAAAGATCCATCATTTGTAATTGTAACTTCTCCGTGTTTCGAAATTTCTGAAATAGGTTAATCTCAATATTCTACTTGTGGTTACTTGGTTTAAAATCATTATGGTTTACAATTGAAAAAGTCTACCTCCTTTATATTACTTTTGAAATATTAGTTTCCTGGAACACTATCATCTAAAATAAAGTTTCTAAATTATATTAACACGAAATGTAAGCTACCACACATTTGCACTCTTTTTAGGAACCTCATTATTATTTATTAACTATTTTGAATGTATTGGTGTAGGATTGACTTTGACATCAAGTTATGACACATTGATAGAACTCTTCAAATGGAGATCATTCAACTCTGTTAAAGGAGGGGCGATCTAAACAAATTGTTTTCATCTATTTCAGCTCATATGATCTTGAAGGCTCAAAGTAGTATTATTCGTTTTAATAAAGTCTATTGTATCCTTAACATTGTAGTATAGTACGGAGTAGTATTAAAGCCTTGATTTCTATTGTTAGTGTCACCCAACAATCTCCAACATATTAACCAGATTCTGACTTTGTAAAAATTATACTCTGTTTTCAAATACATGAAATCTTCGTCTATTCCAAAAGAATATTACTCTTTTGTAAGCGCATCCCTTTAAATAATTACATTGGGCACCATTCGCACGTAGTGCGTACTCCGCTAGTATATTCATAAACTTTTTTCAAACTAGTCACAAATAATGTAAATTAAGAATATATATACACACTTTTATCTCTCCCGCATACTTATATAATTCAAGACATATTTGTTTATTATTATTTTCTTTATATGTTCAAGTATGTTTGCATTTTTATGTAATATGTTTGATCCCTCCAACTTTTATATCAAATTTAAATCAAATGACATTTTTTTAGTAAAAAACCGAAAAAAGCGAAACCGAACCGAAACAAACCGAACCGATCAAACCGTGGTTCCAAGTTTTGGAGTGTAAAACCGAACCGAAACCAAACCGAACTTTTACTTTGATTCGGTATTTGGTTTTAGGTCAAAACCGAACCGAAAGAACCGAACCCACCCCTAGTAAGGAGGGTAATGTCATCCATTTTACATGCCTTATTTTCCTTTTTGGACTAGCCCAAAATAAGTGTCACATTTTTTGAAAAGAAATATGTTGTTAACATTATTTCACTTTATTATACTCAAATCTCAACCACAACATTTACCTTTTCAACCACTTTATTAATAATTGTGTCAAAGTCAAAGGAGACACATAAAATGGAATGGAGGTACGGAGTAGTATATTATACTCCCTCCGTCGCTAATAACTTTGTCAAGTTTGACCGGCACAGAGATTAATAAAGTAAAAACTGTGTGATTGAGGTTTGTGCAGAGAAGAGAGAATTAACTGGAACAAAAAATTCTTTACTTAAAAGAAAAAGTGACAAAGTTAATGGGACATCCAAAAAAGGGAAGTTGGCAAATTTAATAGGGACGGAGGGAGTAAAAGTTATATGAAAATGTTCTTTAGTAGAAGTACTTTCATAAAAGTATAGAGTTTAGAACTTTCATTATATTATATGTAGTATTAATCAAAATCATGGTTCAAAATTTTTGAAATGACAAAATATTTTGGGACGGAAGTAGTATTTTTTTATCATTCAAATTTTATAAAGAACCTATCAAATTCCTTTAGGAAAACATATCAAATTCAATATATATTTAATGATCTTTCCAATTGTCCCAATATTGCTTACACAAAGTTTGAAAAAA